GAGATTCCTGCAGCGCACTTTCAGAGTTCTCTGAAACCCTCCACCTTCCCCAGCTCCACCTGTATAGTTCTGCTACAGGTTATTTTATATGCTATTTGTGCAGCAGCAGTATGTCTTAAATACTCACGGCACCGTATCGCCATATGCATTGGCAGTAGCAAGTTCCTGTACTTGCTTGCAGCAGCAGCGATAATCTACAACTACAGCAATAACCAACAGCAGCAGCATTTCAGCAGCAGCATAGCAGATCTATTCCGCCAAGACCAAATACATTAACATTGTCATATCCATCACCATGTTAAATCTTCCGAGAGTTGTCATGATTGAAATAGATATACAGTAGTTCTATTGATCTAGATATCATTCTATTGTTCTGTCTGTCACTCTATCCTTCTGTTTGTCGTTCTGTTGTTCAAACATTCTGTCTGTCATTCTATCTTTCATTCTGTCTGTCATTTTATCGTTCTGTCTATCTATAGTACTAGATATTGTTCTGTCCATCTATATCGTTCTATCGATCTAGATATCATTCTGCCGTATCGGTCGCTCTGTCCTTCTATGTGTCACTCTGTCATTCTCTCTGTCTTTCTATCTGTTGTTTTATCCAATGTTCTATTTGTTGTTGTATTGTTCTGTTTTTCTCTTATTCTATATATCGTTCTGTCGTTTAATCATTTAATCTGTCATTCTACCATTTTGTTGTTCTGTCTATCTGTCATTCTATCTATCGTTCTTTAGTTCTATCTGTTGTACTATCGTTCTATCATTCTAGATATTGTTCTAGATATCTGCTTTTATAACTCCAAATTAAATTTGCAATTCTGCAAATCTATCTATCATATTATAACACCAAAATTTAAATAGCAGTTCTGCATCCCTCATTTCAAGTTCAGCATTTGAACTGGAATTAAGGAAGCATAGTTAATTCAGTTCTGAATGGCACTCATCCATGGATTATAGGTTTTCTAAAGGGACATTTACAGTTTTCATTTTGGTCATCTGTGTCCTTTTTGACAACTGTGTGGTATCTGTCTGCTTGTTGCATTTTTTAAAAAGGTATGTCAGTTTAAAAATATCTAACTTTTAAAATGTTAACTTTTTAAAAAAAATTCCTCATGACCCCTGCAATCTGTTCCATTCCCTTGCACTCTAGATGGTTTTGGATGCAAGAACGAGTTCTGTGTGAATTCCCCCAAAGGCTTTTGACTCATAACACTGTCTCTCTATAGTTGACCTTTTAGCTTTCTTTACCTGCAGTTACAGGAAATGCCTTGCATTTTGTCATCTGCTATAGCACAATAGAGACTCCAGCTTGCATTTCTATTCATAAATGGATATTCACCCATATTATGCCAATGTCCTCTAGAAAAGCCATTTAGGATGGCTTTTTCCACCTGGTCCCCATCAAATGTGCCAGTCTGTAGACATTTTGCAGCCATTCTCCACATTTCAACATGCTGTATAATTACTATGGCTAGTCAGCCTGGGACATTTCATTTTTGGCAATACGTTATTGTTAAAGACATGACAGGAAAAGGGAATGTGTGAGCGTGTGCCACTATGAGGATCAAATGAATAATGAACATAATTATCAGTCCTACGCTGGCCACCTTTCCTCCCCAGTGTATTGGAATATTCATTATCTGGGGCATTTCCTTATTCATGATCCCGCTGTGAGAGGAATGATGTAGTTAACGATAAAGTCAGAGGTGACAGGATTGAATTTTCCCAGTGCTAAAGAGCGGATTAGAGCAGTGAAATCCTTTACTAGGTGGGAAAACCGACCTCTAAAGACACATTATGGTTAAACTACACTGTAAATAGAAGATATATGTGACCAGACCAGGCCGCTGTAGATTTGATTCTACAGTCATCAACATTTTCTTAGTCTTAGGGGATTGGTTGGTTGATTTAGTGTGAGAGAAAGCATGTATTTCATTGTGTCGGTCTGTTTTAATTGTGCTTATTCCATTGTTCCAGGCGCTGTGGATATATTAAAGCAAAGCAAGACCCTGAGGAAGAGAAAATGCAGTTTCAGCATGGACGAGGTAATGCACACAGGTTTTTTTGGTCTTGGAAAAGAGTAATCAGCAAAATATTGGGCAAAACTTTTTAAGATGTCTAATGTAGTGCGTTCAAAGAACATAGTTTGAGAAATGTCATCAAATCAGGATAGTATTTTTTCTGGCCAGTCAGACGGTGAACATAATTCGGTCTGGTTGGATGGATGAATAAAGAAATGCATGTTTTTCCAGCAAATTGTCGGTTAGTGAACAGAGCCTCTGATGCATCTGCTGATAAATGATGTCTCTGATCGCACTAGTTGCCTAATGTGTGTTTTCTCTAATGACACTTTTCCTGCCTGCCAAAGACAATGTTTAATGAGGTTGAAAATGCGGCACTCCCCTCCTTTTAGGAAAATGGATGGTTCAGTCTAGGTAACTAAAGTGACTGTAAAACAACCCGACCGTTATCCTCACTCCTACCGTGTTCTTGCATTGCAGTCAAACTTCCCGAAACCCGCACATACATTCACCCGCATACGTACGAGGACCCCAACCAGGCGGTGCGAGACTTCGCCAAAGAGATCGAAGTTTCCAACATACGGATTGAAAGAGTTATTGGGGCCGGTAAGTCAAAATGAATCACTCAAGAACATGCCCTACTTGTGTAAACCACTTGAACAGCTCTCCAGGGATTGTAATGAAATGAAATAAGGGATTGAGGGTAAATTCAGTTAGTTGACAGGCTCTTGCTTGACTCCCAGGTGAGTTTGGTGAGGTCTGCAGTGGCCGTCTGAGGCTGCCCAGTAAGAGGGAGATCCAGGTGGCCATCAAGAGTCTGAAAGCCGGATATTCAGAGCAGCAGAGACGTGACTTTCTGAGTGAGGCCAGCATCATGGGCCAATTCGACCATCCCAACATCATTCGACTGGAGGGAGTCGTTACCAGATGTAAGCATTTACATCCAAAACACATTTGCACATGTAACATCTATTGCTGGAAATAATTTGTACCCCCTGTGTTTTCCATACAGAGATAATTGACCTTACAATCTTATCTTCAACAAAAACAAAATAGCACAGTTCATGAATATTCATTCAAATAAATATGTATGACAATATTTATATCAGTGATTTTCTGCCCTACTTCTACTTTAGAATACAAATGTGCTATGACAGTATGCCTTTGAATTTGCTTTTATCGCTTTGAATTATCACTGTAAGACAGCTGGTAAGATAATGTCTTCGGAAAGGTCACAGATAACGCATCATCATGCCGAGAGTTGGCTTAAATTGTTTGAAGGAAAAAGAAATTGAAAAAAAAAAAAAACCCTGTTTTGTTGGACTTTGGATTTCATAAAGGCATATTAGGTCTGTATTACCTCTGATTGCTTGTATGACCACTCCTGAGAATCTGAAATTGATGTGCGCTGCTCGCTGATAATGAGGATGCTAATATTAGCCGTAATTAGAATAGCACTACTGAACCTTGCCTGAATTTGCCAGCTTATTGAGAATGATGTTACCATTGTGTTCATTTCAAGGCTACTATTGTCTTTGTTTTAAAAAAGCAGTATCTTGCAACAGGTGTTTTGGTCACTATTGAGTGGTAATTTCCTCTGCTGATTTTTTTCCTCCGAGTCTCTGTGAATTAGACTGACAGGCTCTATAACATGGACTTTGGATTTTGGATTTTTTGTATGACCACTCCTGAGAATCTGAAATTGATGTGCGCTGCTCGCTGATAATGAGGATGCTAATATTAGCCGTAATTAGAATAGCACTACTGAACCTTGCCTGAATTTGCCAGCTTATTGAGAATGATGTTACCATTGTGTTCATTTCAAGGCTACTATTGTCTTTGTTTTAAAAAAGCAGTATCTTGCAACAGGTGTTTTGGTCACTATTGAGTGGTAATTTCCTCTGCTGATCTCACTTATGATTTTTTTCCTCCTTCAAGCCTCTGTGGATTAGACTGACAGGCTCTACAACAAAAGGACCATCCATATTCATGCCAGCTGCATGAATATCGATAATACAAACATGTAATTGGATGTGAGTTTTTGGAGGGATCATGAATATTCAATGTCAGAATTATTAACATTAATCCTCTCGACATTTCCACCCAGTCCCTCTTACTCATGCAAAATGCTAATGGTGGCCTTTAGTTTGATGCAGTTCAAATAGTTATTATTAATGTTGGCAGTACAGCTTTTCCTTTCGTATTAAGTAAAAGTACAGTAATTTTCTCTTTTTTTTAATTCTGTGCTGTTGCAAATTATGAGGTTATGAATATCTTGATTCAACAAATATGTCAGTGAAAGGCTTTCATTATTGTAGGCATGGATTGTCCAAAGGCACACATAATTCCTGTAGCCCTCATAATGGCTCTCATTAATTAATTTTATGGCAAGATTAATATTTTACATGGACATAGGAATAAAAAAAAGAAAACATTTGTTTATTTATATATATATATATATATATGCTAATTAATAACTGTATGGCACACACTCCCTAATTTAGCAGAATCCTGATTCATAAAAAATCGAATAAGAATACAAACAAAATGTGTGAATGTACTTGTGGAAAGTTGCATGAGAACCTTTTTTGCGCACATATGTAAACACACATTTTGCGAGTGAGGCTCAATGAAACTGTCAGATTATGTATCTTCCATATTGCTCTTTCTGGCAGGTAATATAACACACGTGTGTACGTGTGTCGGTTTGCAAATGTGTCCTCGTCTGCCACTGATTGGGTGAGATATGATAGCCGGAGTAATTTCACAGGTCACAGATCAGCCTGATGGTGTAGGGAATGGGGATAGGAGAGGTCAGCGACCCTTCAGCACTGCATTACTGAAGCAGCTGTCAATCCAGCCCCCTCCTCACACGCACAGACTAATCACAGCGCTGATGGAGCTGAGCAGAGATGCATTAAAGAGGCTGAAGAGTGTTTATGCTGCCTGATGGAGCGCCGGCGAGAAAGACAAAGAGTTTTGCGCTGTAATATGAAAAGCATCTGTCACATAACACAGCTTTCAGAGAGGCGCTCTATCATTACCACCTCAGACGGCAAAAAATTAGACCGTGATTGAGCTTTTTGTAATGCAAATGTGTCAGCAGCTCAGAGAATGGAATCAGAATAGACCTTAATGCCCCATTCAGTTCTTTATCCCCATCTTTACAAAAACACAGAGCTGTCATCGTCTCTATTATAAACCCATTTTGCATCTAACCATCAGATTAGCGATCTGCAGTGTGCTATCTGATAACGTTCACCATCCTCGGCTGTATTTTCAGGTTCATTCCAGCTGAGTCCTCAAGAAAAGTTTTTCTTTGTGCCATCAACAGTGGGAACAGTAGATAAGAGGATGTATTTTCTAAATCATTGAAAGTATTGCTTTGTTCAGAGTAATGTGTGCTTTTAAGCTAGAGCTTTACTTGTTTAGAGCCCTAAAATTCCTTTATCCTCTGATATTTCATAACAAATTGCTGTCATTTCATCAAATACCTCCAAAGCATGTGATTACAGATGATGTACAGAGTACATACTGGAGTTGCAGGTATTTAATGGCATTTTATATTATTTTATTTTATTTTAATGTTTTATTTATTTATTTATTTATGTAATTTCTAAATCATTGAAAGTATTTTTTTTTTCAGAGTTAATGTGTGCTTTTAAGGTAGAGCTTAACTTGTTTTGAGCCCTAAAAATTCCTTTATCCTCTGAAATTTCATGACAAATTGCTATCATTTCATCAAATGCCTCTAAAGCATGTGATTACAGATGATGTACAGAGTGGAGTACAGGTCTTTTAGGGCAAATCACCTTTTTTCGGAATTCTTTTCTCTAGAAATATATATATATGTGTGTGTGTGTGTGTGTGTGTGTGTGTGTGTTATAAAATGAAATAATGTAAGAAAATACATATAATAATTCTAATAATTATAATAATGTAGAATATTGTATAATTATACATAATGTGTTTGCGTATATATAACACTTATACCACTTTATTTTAATGACAAATTCTCACATTTAACAAGCATGCATATTACTAGCATACTGGCCGTTTATTAGTATTTATAAAGTAAATATTTATGTCTTATTCTGCATGACCATATTTTAGATCTTTTAATCCTACCGTGTGTATATTTAAACTTAACAACTACCTTACTAACTATTAATTAGGAGTTTGAGGCAAAAGTCATAGTTAATAGATAATTAATAGTGAAAGCT